AATGTTTTTTTCGTTCGTCGTCAGCTTCTTAGCTGGTAGGCTGCTATTTAACGAAGATAGGTCTTTCCGACAGAGCAAACGGCACTTAGGCCTACATGCATGTGCTGCCATTATCGTCATTACCACTTAATTTAACTATTAGGACTATGTAGCCTTTAAAGTTTGAACTTGGTTCATTTCAAAGTAAAACTTGTTCAGTATTTTAAATTGTACAAAAACGGTAGTTCAACCGGGGCCTGGTCTAACGACACAGACGCGTTTGTCGCCCAAAACAATAGAAACAATGGCAAACGCGTTCAACAGCACAAACCCGTTTAGACGCGTCTGGGACATATTCCGACTAGCTTATTAATATTCATGAGGCACGATAATTAGACGATCGCTTTCCCAGACGCGTTTGTAATACATGGTTTTCCCAGACGCGTTTCTGTCGTTGGGGATAATTTGTAGATCGCGCCTAGATACTCATTTTCAATGTTTTCACGGAGTACGCGTAAATTCGGCATTCTCAGTTCCTTAGATCGCATACCAGGCTAGGTTAAGAAAAAGTTTGCAAAAAAGTTTTCATTCGACGTCAACTTAAGGGCGTTAGTGTACGAGCCACCGTCGTGCAGCGGGTAGAATGATCGAAAATGTTTTCACAACAGGACGGGAGGCGTTCGTGACGGTCAGGTAGCTCTCCGTAGGGAATCGAAAGCTCACTAATAATAGAATCAGACATTTATTTCTACTTTCTCAAATTTACTGTATAATTAGAGAACATAATTTTTTTTGTGTTGCCGTTTTCAAAGGTTGTTAAATAGTTTGATTTTTCCATTTTAGAGACACAAAATATCAGCACAAAATATCAAGGGACCATACTTACAGGTAATTGCCATTATATTAAAAACAACATTGAAGAATGACACATAAAAATCTATAAGAATTTGGGGTTTTATAAAAACATTTTTTGTTATTTTCAAAGTTACGGTATGGCCCTCCAAAATGCTCCAAATTCAGTCTAGAAAAAATGGAATATGCAGAAACGTACTAGATTACTACTGTCCTCTATGGTATTACAAGTGATTAAATTTAATAATATTTACATTGGATTGGACATTAAAGTTGCATATTGTTATCACAGGTCGGCAAAGTGTGGCCCTCGGGCCACATGCGGCTTTAAAATTACTTATTTTGTACGGCCCAACACCAATCATCCATAAGAAATGTTAAAACTGAGCATAAAATGGTATCTAAGCAACTGTGCATAAAGGAGCACACTGGAAACATCAGAACTAGCTGTGGCCCTGAGTGTTGAATAAAAAATTATTGGACATTATTATGCCCACCCATGTTTGTACATGATTCATTGTGTATTTAAATAACTTTTTTTATTTCTTTTCATGTACAGATGTTCTTTAGTCTATTTTAAGTTGCAATTTATTATTTAATGTTTTCCAGCCAGGACACCACCTTTCCATGCATCTCCGTTTAATGTGTTTCCATCTTGGATTATCCTCATTCCTCTTGCTGGCTTCTTTAATTGGTTTTTCACTTCACCGCATCAATGTAAGTATCATTTAATTGTAAGCATTCTAGATCCTTTAAAGTCATAAATCAGCAGTCATCTGCAGTTGCTGCTGTCTTCTCTCCTTGAGAACGTAAGTATCGTTCAATAAGTTCAATTTTAGTGCCTAATGCCCCCAGGTGGGGGGGGGGGGCATAGACACTATGTTATCATCTGGCAGTAGTAAGAAGTTGAAAGTGCATACATAAGAAATAGAAATGATGTAATATAGAGAGCCTTCGGTGTTAGTTTCCTACTTGGATAACGCGCATGCGTAACCCTGTTTACGTCTCTGATCGATCCATTTCGCTAAGCAATTGTAGCTAGAATATTAATAGGAATGATAGAATTTTCAATGATTCTAAGCCTGATAAACTATAGAATTGCGAAGGTTTTGAGTATTTCGATAAACAGCTTGTGCACTTCTTCAGATGAACTGTGTGCACGAAAGCTAGTTTACTGTCAAAAATAAAACTAGTCTTCAAAGTACTAAACGATTTTTGAGTTTTATTTGTTATCATATCAGACTAGTACGGCACATCTATTTTTTGTTTTAATACAGTTAGAAATATTGTTTGGTTCTAATTTATTTTCATTTTCAGTCTTGTTTTCTTGTATCTCTGTATATATGTACTTTTGTCATTAAACTTACATACACGTTTCCTAGTATCTGTACATTTCTAGAGAACAGAAAATAGGCCTATATATCCACATACCTTGGTCAACACAAGCAGACCGCGATTCAGTCTCATATTCGAAGCATTTGCAAAATCTGTAATTATTCGTCCATTGAATGGACTGGGCATTCCGTGGCATTTGGAATGTAGCCCTTGCTCAGTCATAATATTTAATGTAGATGCAGGTTCTGAGCTGTCATATTGCTGCTGTTGCTCCCATAGTTTCGTTTTTCGACAACTTTCCTATCAAGAGAATATTCAATAAAAATATTATTTAATTAAAAACCTTGCTTTTGATTAAAAAAAATAATTTTGATTTTACATATTGTATAAAATATTGCGAAATGTAACAAAATTTATTAGTTTGTTACATTGATAAGAATCTACATAGTAATACAGTAGTATTATATGAAAACATTTCAATGACCTTTAATAAAATCCAAATATCACTGACCACTGTGTATATAATTATTCATGCATCCAAGTGCGTTTACCAAATGTTTTTTTTAACAACTATAACGCAATTTTCATGAGACATTATTGTAAAAATAGTTACATTATTTTAGCATTTAAGCGTTTTATTGCTACAGTATTGTTTATTTTCACATCGTCTCTGTCTATTAAATACCAGTCCAATTACTTTAAAACCATTAGTCTGACACAAAGATAGGCAGTTAGGCGCGATCTACAAATTATCCCCAACGACAGAAACGCGTCTGGGAAAACCATGTATTACAAACGCATTGTTTCTATTGTTTTGGGCGACAAACGCATCTGTGTCGTTAGACCAGGCCCCGGTTGAACTACCGCTTTTGTACAATTTAAAATACTGAACAAGTTTTACTTTGAAATGAACCAAGTTCAAAGTTTAAAGGCTGCATAGTCCTAATAGTTAAATTAAGTGGTAATGACAATAATGGCAGCACATGCATATAGGCATAATTGCCGTTTGCTCTGTCGGAAAGACCTGTCTTCGTTAAATAGCAGCCTACCAGCTAAGAAGCTGACAACGAATGAAAAAACATTTATCAACTCCCTGCACACATATCACATGGGAACACAAATGGACGCCAGTATTCTCCAAACATTCACTAAACTATAGAGAAAATAGAACATCTATTTTCTCTAATATTAAACGTAGGCATCAATATATATTATATACAGCAACTAGACCTATGCAACTACTGTCCAATTAATATTGGGTACCTCGTGTGTGTGGATGTGATCAGTCCAGAGTACGCAACATCATGTGACAAATGTCACTGACTGTGTGGCCTCTATACATGGAGGAAAGAACTTTCCTCCTTGGTCTACAGAAATTCGCTTTGAGCACCGCTGTGACAGAAGTGGGTCAGTTGAGTTGCTAACAATAGGACCATAGGCGTAGATCCCGGGGGGATGGAGGGGATATATCCCCCCCAATATTTGACAAGGGAGGGATGGTCCATTGAATCATCCCCCCCAATATTTTGACTATGTATGGGATAAAATGGAGCTTTA